AAAAACGCTTATCATTGTTTGACCTTTAAAATATTTAAGGCATGGTTTGACATTAAAAACAAATGACAATTGTCACTTGCCCATAGACCTTATACAATTTCATGGACTGCTAGTCTCCATACATTTCTCAAGTAAAAAAGTGTCAAAATATGTTCTATGGTATGAGGGCATACGAGGGTAATTTCGCGGCCGAGATATGTCAAACTCGATTGCTTAAACGTCAAATGAAAGTCCGTGTGTTCGAAATTGTTGGGTAAATATTATATAATATACAATTTAGGTTGAACTAATGAATGTAATGAACTATTTATTTATTTATTTTAGGTATGCAAAGTGTTCAAGGGAAATTAGAAAAAAAATTAAAAAAATATTTTACATATTATAAAATTAACTGAAAATAAGGACAGTTGGCTAGAGCTATTATGGGAAATTAGAAAGAAATAAAGAAATATTTGTTTAAATCTAATATATTTATTATTGATGTTTAAAAAGCATAATTTTCGTGTGAAAGTGGCGTACATATTTATCAAGTTTGCTTTTTTATGTTTTTCATGGTGCATTCTATTTGTTAAGTACATTTTTACCACAGACCAAACACATTTTAGAAGACATTTTACTTCTTATTAGATTTTGTCTGCTACTAACAATTTTAAAACGCGTATTCTTATCCTCTTTTAGGCAAAAAACACGAGCGATCAAACATCTCGTGAACCCAAGTAACTGTAAAATTTAAGCGATCGAGAGCATTCGACTAATCTCGGTAAAGCTCGTGTTCGTATTTGACATATCTCGGCCGCAAAATTACCCTCGTATGCCCTCATACCATAGAACATCTTTTGACACTTTTTATGCGCTCAACTAGCAGTCCATGTATTGTATAAGGTCTATGCACTTGCCAAACATTTCTATCCACTTATAGGCTAAGGCAATATTAAAATATAATAAATTCATGATTATGAATAAGGAAAATGTAATGTCTACATTATTATTCCCGAAAAGCAGCTGAGATGTGCCAAAAATTAAATTAATATAATATGCAAATAATATAACATGCGTTTGACAAGTGATCATGCAGTCTCCGCATGCGTCTGACGTGCGCGTGGATTGCTTTTGCTTGCAATAATTTTGTTTGCGCACTTTGCGAACAGATTCGCCGTACGAATTCGTGCAAACAAGACGAGCCATAAGTGATTGCGCTCAAAAATATTCAATTTGCAGTCGTTTTGCCTTACTATACTAAGTCACAATACAAAAAAATTGCTTATCCAAAATTTTTTTTAGAAGTTTCATTGTGTCAAAAATTCATATGGTTGGCATTTTGTGCGGAATATTTACTCAATTGAGCGCTTTGGGTCTGAACTTTTTTTTACTGTTTTCCAATTTAGGATTTTTGGAATTAGGCTCATCTTACTCTCAAGTTCAAAGGTGAAAACAATTTAGACTCCTTTAGTGGTGGGTGTGGATAAAAGAACTAATTATAAGAGAAAAATGTTTAATAATGTTTTTCAAATAAGCAAATACTTTTCAAGTTACTGGCTACTTTGATTTGTTTCTTTTTTGCGTTTTTCATCGTTTTTTGCTAATATCTTCAAAAATATACATTTTAACGAAAATTTTGTAATGAACAAAATTATAACAATAAAAATTCTAATAAATCGCTATTTTACAGTGTTCTAGGAACAATATTAAGTTAATTATGAAAATGGGTTTTTATAGTTCTCCAAATAAGCTTTAAAAGAAAGACTTCTGCGTGCAAAATGAGTGAGCTATCATGCAATTAAAAAACGCATACAATGTTTTTTTCATTTAAATGAAATAGTTTATGAGTGCCATTTCCACCAAAATTAAAAATAATCGTTTTTCATCTAGAATTAACTTGGTTTGAGATTGGATGGATTCTAAAAAATACCATAACATTAGTACGAACGATTTTCAAAAAACTCATGATTTCATAAAAAATCCATTTATAAAAAAACAATTTCTCATTATAATATCTCTGAAAGAATACGTATAAAAGTATATATATATATATATATATATATATATATATATATTTTTCAGACTAATTATTGCTTTTTATTATTTTTTTGTTACACAAATATTGATAGAGTTCTAATTATTTAAAGAGTGCGCGGCTGTCCAACCGGAGTGTCTTTCGAGCCCTTTAACCCTTCGCCGTTTCAAAATAAGAGAAGTTACGGTAAAATTTATGATAGAGAAAGTTGTAGCTCATTTAATCACCTTTAAAATAGTATATTACAAGTTATGATAAAATCAGAATTAAAAGAGTTATAATCCAATTAATGCGGGGGGTAAAATGCAAATTGTTTTCACTTCTGAACTTTAGATTAAGATTAGCTGGTCATGCGCTTTTTTCCCCTACTTCTACTGCAATAATTTTGTTGATAGTAGGTTGAATAGAACACATGTGAACAAAATTTGACGAATTAATTCACTTCAAATATAAACTTAAGTAAGTAAATAATGTATATTGAATTATTAGTGTGAAAAACGCAATTTTGATATTAAAATATTAAAAACCAGTTAAAATATGGTACAAAATTATAAAAATTGAAGGCAACATTATTGAAGCAATTATTTTGGGTAGAAAAATCCAAGGTGATATTGTACCTTGACCGCATGCTATATATTAATTCTTTCTGAATTTGTTATGCTTTTTAAAAGATTTCAATTTTCAACACGTGTATCTATGCTATGACAATAAATACATGGTGATAAATTTGGAAAATTAATGTTTTAGCCATGAATAAACAAAAAATCATTCATTTAAACATCCACATCTACAGGTATGTCTAAAAATATTGTAAAACCCTTAAATTCAATAAAATAAATTGAGCTATTGGAAATAAATTTGCTCTATAAATCGCAGTGTATAATTTTTAATATATAATTTTATAGAACATATTTTAATATTTGTTAAAGGGATAATTAAAGTGTTAACTGTGAAAATTGAAAATAATCATTTTATTTGAAACAGTACTACATTTAACATCATTCATATATTGGTGTAAATAATAACTCGAAAAATAATAATGATTATTTTTAACTGAACGGTATAAATATTAGTATAGGATATTAAAAAAACGTAGAGGTGGGTACAGGACAACGTCTGTCGGGTCATCTAGTATATATATGAAATTCTTCTGTAATAATGTATGTAAATATACTCCTACTAAACGATTATTCGGATTTTGTTAAATCTTTCTGAAGTTTTGTTGAGGGGATTTTTTTGTACGTATGTGATTATAAAAATATAGTAATATTGTGGGAATAAATGGATAATATTGCAAAAAACGACATGTCATTGTTTGACATTAAAAAGAAATGAAAAGTGTCATCTGCCAAAAATTTCAATTTACTTATGAGCATAGACAATATTAGAATATGTATAATAAATTCATGATTATGAATAAGAAAAATGTAATGTCTACATTATTATTGCCAAAAAGCAGCTGAGATGTGCCAGAAATTAGAATAATATAAGATACAGTATATGTATGGTAGATTGAGTGATACATAGATGAACAGAATTTGACAAATTAATTCACTTAAAATATGAAATTATGTATTAATCAAGGCCGGATATTAAAGATTCGGATATGAAATTTTCAATATAGTTCTTTTTTCAATTTAAGAAATATATAATTTCTTTACATCTTTCACTAATCTTTGCACAATATTTTTAAAACACGTTAAAAATTTCACTTGAAAGCAACGAATGGGAAAGCAAAGATGAATACATACAATTCGGCCCTCACGATATCGAATAGGTGAAGTTTATGATGCAATTTTGGACATCTTAAATAATAATAAATTAAATGAAATAATCCAACGTGAAGTACCAGTTTTATGTTATGGTTATGTTTAATAATGGAAGCCTAGAAATTTTTGCTGTCTATGGTTTGCTCAATAGAATAAATGGCATAAAATTCCCAAAATAATTGAGTAAAATGTTTCAAAAACCAAACATAAATTAATGATAAATAAATAATAATTTCAATGATAAACTGTTGAAACAAGTAAAATAATAAGGCACTGAGGACCTCAAAGGTGTCCTTGGTAATAATGTATACTAAATTATTACTAAGAAAAATGTAATTTAGATATTATAATTACTAAATTCCAGTTAATATATGATACGAGATTATAAAAATTATAGGCAACAATATTGGAGCCTAATTATTTTAGGTGGAAAAATCCAAGGTAATATTGTACTTTTATCGCAGATACCTACTATATATTAATTGTTTTCTGAATTTGTTCAATACCCTTTAAAACAACAATTTAAAGAAAAGAGTGCGCTTAAGGATCACACGCGATTGAAGTTAAACTTATTTGCTATCTTTGAGCATATTTAAGTTAAGTAAAAATAAATACATCATATAACAATTTCGAATAATGTTTATTAGTAATATGGTAACACTCGTGATGCACACACTTATTAGTCATACACATCATACACATTTATATAATGATAAATTATAAATTATATATTTATGATTGCATTAAAATATGTATAATATTCACAAACAATAATGTAATCAATATCATACTTGAAATATGACATGATCGGTTTAAAGTAATTGCTGATTAATAAGTTCTATAATATTCGTAACTTCAGTCATCATGTAATGATTGTGTTTGAAGAAGTTCATGTAATTAAAATTAACATACATTCATTTACTGTTTGTATTTTTTTACTTTTTGCTGGTGATATAATCTCATTCTTTGTACAGCTGTAATATCTGTCTTGCCTAAAAAATTGAAGCCATACTTTTATATTTGTTTTATTTATCAAGCCCTGCACTTAGCTTGATCTATGAATCATTTGCTTTTTTATGTGAACGTTAATGCAATGATCATCATAAATATTACGAGGTAATAAATTAACCATATTATTAATGTCAACAGGCACATTTATAATTTAGCCAAATATTCCAAGTTGTCCATTTGCATGTCGCAATCGTCTAATTTGCATGAAACACAACCTAGGTGAAATTAACCTTTCAGGTAAAGTATCTAGTTTAGGTAGATAATTTGGTATAGGTGGAAATACAAACCTGTTAAATTAACACAAAGTGGGAATTTTACCCGAATTTAATGCCTTTCGACAAGTTTGACATCCGAAAATTTAAAAAAACATTCGATAAAACTCCTATAGCATTCTATAAGCACTGGCGTTGATTAACTTTCTGATATGATTGGCTGTGCCGGTTCTTTGTAATTAGCAAAAAAGTGAAGAATTTTCGGATCACATTTTATCCAAAAATTCTGGATCAATTTTTAAAATTCAAAAACTATTCGAAAGATACTATTTGCGAGTCGTGCTGATTAGTTTTGGACAAATTTGGGCCAAGCCATTTCATTGCAATTAACTGTTGAAATTTTTTTTTTCGATTAAACTTATGTTGATAAATATCATTGTTCTAAAGAAAATACTAAAATATTGCGGCTTTACAGCAAATAGTTCAATTTTAAAAATTCGACTAGTTTAATATTGTTTGTTTTCTATATATATAGGAGAATTCTACATCATTGCATTTTCAGAAGCTACGAAAAGGCAAGAGAATGGGTAAGAATTTAAATGTTTATTTTTTGACCACTAATATCTATCGAATTTCAAGTTTAGTTAATTAATTATCCACATTTTTTTAATACCTTTTAAACAACTAAACTAGATAAAAAACAATATTTTTTAAGAAAAAAATCTTTATCTCTTCAATACTGATAGGTTCATTCCTGAACTACTTTAATTCGATGTTTTCTTTGCTATTCTTTGTTACATGGCTCCTGATATAGACATTTGCAGATTTTTTTTCACTATTAATTACGTTACCAGTGATGAGTCACATCAGATGTTTTAGAATTAATATCCAACGATTTCATATCCTCTTGTTTTCTTCTTCCATAGCCTTTGATAAAACAGGATGGTTCAATTACTTCTTTTGCAGAATTCAAACTCGGCGACAAAGTAGTAGCCTTGTACGACATTTACTACAAAAATAGTAACGAATTGTTGTTCAAAAAATTCGAAAAATTGACAGTACGTGATGACGACTCCAAACATTGGCTTAGGGTCCAAAATCCCGCAACAGGATCGAAAGGTTATGTTCCTAAACATTATGTAGCACCTTTCAACAGTCCTCAGAAAGAGTAAGTATTAATTTGTAAAATACAATTGATTTATAATGTTTTAACTGCTAAATCATCATAATAGCTGGTTCTTTGGCAACTTAACACCAAGGCAAGCCAAAAAGTTATTAATGAAATCTAAATACCCAAAGGGAACTTTTTTGGTAAGGAATTCTCAGTCGAAGCCTTCAAATTACGTTCTGAGCATTAAAAAAGGAAGTCCCTGCGAGGGATACTACGTACGCCATATTAGGATAAAACCTTATGGAGAACATTCGTTTCATATTGGAAGTGACAAGAAGAAGTTTGACAGTCTTAAAGATTTGATGGAGTACTACATAAGTAAGTAAACAAAACCATATCAACAATTGAAAAATTTACAATTAATCTTAATGTTATTTTTTAGAAAAAGGTGAAATAGGAGGCAGGCTATTATCAAAACCATGCAATAAGGAAATGTCTTACGTCCACGATACCAATGCAAGAAGCTCAACATCAAAGCAAGACAACTGGGAAATTCCACTTGAAGACATCACCATAAATAAGAAATTGGGACAAGGTTCTTTTGGTGTCGTATATGCAGGAATATGGAGAAAGAAGATCAACATAGCAGTAAAAGCAATGGTGGAGAGCAGTATTTCATCACTGCAGGACTTCCACAATGAAGCAAAGATTATGAAAAAGCTAGAGCATCCTCACATCCTACCATTGTTCGGCGTTTCTAAGTCCCCAAATGATGGCAAGATTTTTATTGTCACCGAGTTAATGGAACGTGGTTCATTGTTAAGCGTATTAAATGACAGAAGTAACAAATTGGATAAGTATGATCTTCTACAATTCGGCGCACAAGTTGCTGATGGTATGGCTTATTTAGAACGTAAAAAGTACATCCATCGCGATCTGGCAACCAGAAACGTCTTGGTAGATCAAGAATTTGATGTCAAAATCAGCGATTTCGGTCTCAGTAGAACGATTAATTATGATGTTTACATGGCAAGGACTGGTATTTGTCCCAGAAGATGGACAGCTCCTGAAGCTCTACAGAATCGATTGTTTTCCACAAAATCTGACGTTTGGAGTTATGGGGTCTTGTTGTTTGAGATATTTACTTTAGGCAAGCTTCCTTACGCCCAAATGCATGACAATCAAGACTTTGTTTCTCTATTGAAGAGTGGATACAGACTACCCAAGCCCGAGCACGCCGATAGAAAAGTTTATAATTTGATGAAGGATTGCTGGAATTGGGATGCAAATAAAAGACCAGCTTTTAAAAAAATTTATGCTTACATGGATGAACTGTTAGAAGAGGAAAGTTGTTGCCATTCCACAGACGAAGATTAAAGATGCACTCGCATATTTCCATACCAATAATAATATAGTCATATTTTTATTAACTTCTCGAAGGAGAAATTTACGTTTTTATAAAAAAATCCGATTTGCCAATTTTGTGTTTTCTCGACGTTTCAAGCCATTCTGAATCGAATGAGACCAAATTTGAAAAAAGTATGGGCCGATGCCAAAAATTTAAAAGCCATTCGATGTATCTCGACGAGGACTATGTGGGACGATCGGCCGAGACGTTTCTTTATAAATAGCAGAAAAGTGAAAATATTTTCGTCCACGTTTTTGCTCGCAATTCTGAATCGATTCTAAAAATTCAAAAACCGTTCGAAAGATATTGGTTGGGAATCGTACTGATTAGTTTTTGGTAAAATCGGCCGGGCCGTTTTCTTGTAATAAAGTGTTAAAAAAATTTTTTTCGACGATTTTTATTATTATTTTTTGACGTTTTATACGGCAAAAATCTGTTCACACACACACAAACACACACATACTTTTGGTCTCATTTTCCAAATTTGGTCTCATTCGATCCAGAATGGCTTGAAACGTCGAGTAAACCTAAAATTAGCGAATCGTATTTTTTGATGAAAACATAAACTTCTCGGGAAGTTAATTAATTTATTTTTTATTGATTATTTACACATATCGGGACGTTCATGTAACTTGCGTCAAGGCACAGCATATGCATGTATGGACAGGAAGTTTTTCATAATCAAATTTATCAGCTTCTGTAATTTCTAATTAATCGGAGCATCCGTAAAATACTCACTCAAATTATAACAGAAAACTGTACAAACTAATCTTGAAATTTAAACAGAAACGTCATAATAAAGACTGCTCATGCTTCCTGAAGAGAATTAATAGATGATAGAATTAAAATTATGACTAGTGGTGCATGGCATCGTGCCTCAAGGCAAATTGCTGAAACTTTCCGTAGCAAAACTAAATTATTAAAAAAAATTTTGCAAAACATTGAAAAAATCTGATTTTTGA